TGCAATTTCTCATGTTAATGTGGATTTCCAGTATGTAAGCAATTAAGTTTGATTTTCTCCTATAAATCTATTGTATGTCATTTAGCTATTTGACCAGCCAAAAGAACAAGAAAAGGAGGAGAGTGGAAATTTTTCCAAATGTTAGAATTATAGTTTAATTAACATAAAAAATTTAATGAGGTAATTATGGTTTTGAAATGTAATTAAAATTAAATTACAAGTTTTTAAATTAAAAAAATATATTTTAAAGTGTTGATGATCAGTATTAGTAATTTGAGATTTCCCTTTTACTTCTGACAAATTTACAGAATTTCAAAAACACACAGAAAATATTTCTTGTATTTTGTGACATTACATTTACTGTGGTTTCCTTTTTTGAGTAAAATATAGTGAAATTTTGAACATTTTAAATGAAATTATATTTTTAATCTTTAAACAGATACTATTACAAATAGTTACTATTTTAATATTACTATTACAAACCTTTAAATAGTTACTATTTATATTAAAAATACAAATACTATTACAAACTATCTGAAAAGATTTTTGTTTTACCAGCCTTGTTAGTGCTTTAGCTGTAATAAATCAAGAAAAAATTTGAGAAAATGTGTATTAATAATTTACTAGTTATGCACGTTGTGTACTTTAAAAATATTCACAACCTAAAAGTTGAAAGTTATGTTTTATTTGGTGGAAATTTTTAGGATTTCAAGCCTGGGAGACAGCATCTTAAACATCATCTTTGGACATCTTAAGACAGTATCTGAACAGTTTTTAAGCTTGATTTATTGTCCTTGAAATTTAGACGTGTGGTGTGCTACTGTCCAAGTGTACTCTTGCCCTAGGCCTTGAATGCACAGTTACTAACTACCTGAATGAGGGCTTAAGTCCCTCACATTTGAATCCAAGTCCAGGACACATTTCTAGCATTTGCCACCACTTATGTATCTACAGAGTGCTAAGCCCTCTTACGCTAGGTGCTGTTTACATCATTGCATATAAAAAAGTTACAACCATTTTAGAGTCTAGGCAAGAATTCAAGGAGTAACAGATTTCTCCTAAGGCCAGTCTCCCCCTCCCCACTCCCTGCAGAAGCAAAGGCAAGGGGTCTCCCCTTTAGTAAAGGACCAAGAGCCCAGACCCAGGGCATGCTGCTTAGTTCAGGGGCAATAACTAAAGTCACTGAAGGTTCTGGCAAAAGGACCACACACACACCCCCCACCAACTACACACACACACACACATACGCGCACTTTTTGCCCTCTAAATTATCCCTTTGCATCCTTTTCTCTGTCTTCCTTTGAAACAAAGTAATGTCAGGACTTCCCTGGCAGTCCAGTGGTTAAGACTCTGCACTTCCAATGCAGAGGCACAGGTTTAATCTCTGGTTGGGGAACTAAGATCCCACATGCCATGCAGAGCAGCCAATTATATTTTTTTAATAAATAAAAATTTAAAAAATTTAAAAAGCATCACTTGTTCTCTCAAATCCAAACCTTGTCAAACCCAAATCTTCAAACTCAAGTCCACTCCTTTCTTCTCTGTTGTCACTGGACCCCCTGTCTTTCTAGTAACAACCTTTGAGTTGCTAGCCAGGTTTAGATTAAGAATGTAAAGCTTTCAGTGGAGGCCCTGCTCCTTCTTGGAACAATTTTCTGAGCTCTAAGGGCCAGGTTTCTGATCAAGCCTGGAACAAGTTTTTCAAAATCAAAGGATGTGATCATATATCCCTCTTAAATTCTATATAAATCCAGACCAAACCTCCCTGAGAGGTCCTTTACCACACTGATACAAATGCAAATTAGCACACATTCCCTCCAGGGACCTGCTCTCTGAGGGACAGCTAATGTGATCAACAAACACAGTGTTAATATGTGCTAATATATTCATGCATTTATTGCTCCCAGGTAATACTTGAGTTTTAGCAAATGCCTTCACAGAAGGTGTGATTTAGTCCTGACAGGTGTCAGTGGAAGTGGGATGAAGGCAGGATGGAGTGCTAGTGGGTTACAAGGTCTAAAACCCCTTGTTGCAAGAGGCTGCCTCTAACCACAACTTACATCACCAAGTCCCAAAGTATCTCCCACACTTGTGTTTCTTCAAAATTTACTGCTAACACTGAATTATTCATCCTCCCAGACTGGGATCATTTACTCTAAAAGTTGAGAATCCCTGGAGAGTATTTGAGAGACTGATAACCAAAGACAAAGGCAACTCTGGAACTCTTGGGGGAGGCATTTAGCTCAGTGGTGTTATTAGTGGCACCATTTACTTCCCCCCTGCCTGCCTGAGGACAAGGAGAGCCCCCTGCTTGGTAAATGGGGCATTCCAGCCAGGGTAAGCCTGATTTCTGTCTCTAGATCAAAATTTCAGGTCTTGAGCCTCACTTGATTCAGCCAGAAAAAAAAAAAACAAGGGGAGTTTTTATTCCAAAGGAACTTTGTGCATTTGCCTCATAATTGGTATCTAATAATGATGAGTGAATTTCGTTTCTAAGCAGCTGTTTCTTACAAAGAAAGGGGCAGTTTTTGAACATGGACATATCAAAATAATAGTGATTAAAAATAAGACAGCATTTATTAAATGTCTACTGCTCTTCTGGAGCTGTGTGCACTGAATCAATAAATGATCACACAAAAACCCATGCATCATCTCTGCTTCATAGGTTGAGGAAACAGGATCTATGAAAGGTAAAAAATGAAAGTGATCAGGACTTCAGTTGACTGAAGTTCAACTTAAGTTGAAGTCCTGGCCCTGATACTTTCTGCTGTGTAGCATTGGACAGATAACTTCTGAGTCTCTTAGGAATATGGAAATACCAATGTTTACTTCATTGAGCTATGATGAGGAATAAATGAAATAATGTTAAAAATAAATAACAGATTCATAATAAATGTTGATTTTCCTTCCCTTTCTTTTGTTTTACAAATAAGGGAGAAAGAGTTCTAAAGCTATTAAACAACTTGCCCAAGAACCCCCAGAAAGTTATTTGTGTCTCAAAGAGAATTTAGGTTCCCTGAGTATTAACACTGTTCCCTTTGTGAGGCTTCTCACTGTCTGCTCCTGTTGAGAATGGTTTCAGCTAAGTGACTCTTTTTCTAGATTTTTCTGTCTGGTCTCACAAGGAGTTTGGGTGTTAGCTGTCAACCAGTAAGTTGATTATCCTTTAGAATATCCCAGAAGAGTGCCCTGGTTGATATTTATTCCACTAATTTTGGTGTACATTAACTGTATGTGTGTGCTCTTCCTCCACAACACAGAACCTATCCATCTGAATAATGTGAGTTTTGTGCCTCGAATCATTATGGAATGAACTAAACCATTATCTGACGTCCATCAAGAAAACTTCCCTAGAGATGAAGAAAATTTGTCAAGGACTATTTATCTACATACCTGGTGGGAGGCCTGAGCTGAACACACACACACACATACACACACACACCTATCCACTCATATCAGTATCTCAACCTCAGTGCTACTGACATTTCAGACTGGTTAATTCTGTCCCATGTGGGCTGTTTCATGCATTAGGACGTTAAGCAGTTTCCTCTGTCTCTATCCGTTAGATGCCCGTGGCAACTCTTCCCCCACCGACAACCACAGTTGTCTCTAGACATTGCAAATTCCCGTGGGTTATGGGTGGTTGGGGGGTTGGGGGGGGGGAAACGGTGCTGCGCAAAAATTGGCCTCAAGTGAGAACTACTGGCTTATAGTTTTAAGTGCCTTCTGAGCACCACTTTTTCTCCAAGTCCACCTCCCTACTATCACCCAGAACAGAGGAGTACATGGAACAGAAGACAGATGAGACAGTGTCACCAATCGTTTCTTCTTTTCCAAATTTGTGCAGCGGGCTGGCCTGAGACGTAGGATGGCTCTGAGTGTTCAAAAGATGACTCTTGGCTTTTGTAGGAGATGAGCCAGTCATGGGGGGCCAGGAGTGTGATACTTTCAAACAGAGCTTCCTTATAGGATGACCTGTGGGTCCCAGTCTAAGCTTAGCTTAGCTCCCTTTTCATTTATCCCTTTTCTCAAACATGTAACAGAGGAAGAGAGCTGGTGAGGACAGTGCGCTTAAGTGAAGGTGACTCCCTTTCATTTACTGAGTAGAGTTTGATATATGGGAAGGCTGGAAGGGAAAATTATAAGACAAATCAACCAACCTCAGCCCCCAGAGAAATCTGAAGTTAACAAAAGCCCATTTATTTAACTAAAATATGAGATCCACTTTAAAAACGAACCCCTCCCAAATAAACACTACATTTTAACAGAACTTACCTGTATGGAATGGAATTGTGGTGGGCTTTCTCTTTTTAGTTTATACAATTTTGATCTTGGGGGGGGTTAATTTTAATAAGTGTGCATTATATGGTTTTAGGAGGGAAAAGAGACATTTTAGAACAAGCAAATATATCAGAGGACTGTATTTTGAAATGATAATAGCAACTGACACTTTATCTATTTTCCAAATGTTATAAAATATATGGCACTACTTTATAATGTTTATTAAGCTGCTTTATTGAAGAATACTTCTTATTCATCCAGGTCAAGAAACAGAACAGTAACGAGGTCTCCCAGAAGCCCTCATCCTCCATTGCTAGTCACTGTCCACCTACTCCTCCTGAATGGGGATTACTACTGTGATTTCTAAAAGCAGAGCAGTTTTGTTTGGAATATTGCTGAGTGGACTTATCCAGTACATGTTCTTGCTTGTAGCCAATCTGTTATGGAAGGGTATTTATGCTGTTTCCAGTGTGGAATTCTTACTGATATTTAATAGATAACACTGAAAAAGCACATAGCACATTGGCCCCCCGCTTAAACTGGGTTAGCCTCCTTAAATAGGATGTGATTAATCAGACCGGGAATCCTTTTACAGAGTTAACACTGCCTCCGCTCCTGTGTAGGATCACAGCCCCTGTCCCCAGGTGACGCTGGAACAAACAGTCTTCAGCCTGTAGAACTTAGAACATAAAGGTGTTGCCCCTGGAGACCATCACAAATGAAGCAAGAAGTCCATCAAGGAAAGGCTGGCTTCCAGTAGCACCTGGAGGTTATTAGGGGCTGATTTGAGACTAGCCAGTCAGCTTCCAAGTCTGAAAGTTCCCTAACCTCTTAAATTTTACCACAGCCCTGGACTAGGACACAGGTTTGAGTTGTGCCTTCTATCTCCCTGCTGGTTAAACTCACAATAAAGCTCTCTCTTTTCTCAAAATCCAGGGTACTGACATCTAGGTGTGTAGAACTGCAAACCATTGCTTGGAAACAATGCTAAGGAGATTTCCAAAGTAGCTGTACTGCCTATTCTCTTACCAGTAAAGAATGAGAGTTCCCACTGCTCTCTATTCTTGCAACATTTATTATAGTCAGTCTTCTCAGTATTAATATTAAAAAAAAACTAATGCTATTAATGAAAAACAATCTTTCCTAAAATTCACTAGCATAAAATACCAGAATATGTTATAAGCCAGAAATAAAAGTTACAATGGGCACGTATACTCCTGTCCCTATCCTTAAGATCTCTCCCTCCCTCTGACGCTACTGCTGTTTCTACTCTAGTTATCTAATTGGAATTTTTGATATCTTATTGAATTTCTCAGAGTAACCCAAGATTAATTAGGTAAATGCTAATTAAACATGCCTCCTGAGAAACCTGTATGCAGGTCAAGAAGCAACAGTTTGAACCGGACATGAAAAAATGGACCAGTTCAAAATTGGGAAAGGAGTACGTCAAGGCTGTATATTGTCACCCTGCTTTCTTAACTTATATGCAGAGTATATCCTAAGAAGTGCTGGGCTGGATGAAGCACAAGCTGGAGTCCAGATTGCTGGGAGAAATACCAATATCTTCAGATATGCAGATGACACCACCCCTACGGCAGAAAGCGAAGAGGAATTAGAGGGCCTCTTTACTGAAGTGAAATAGAGTGAAAAAGCTGGCTTAAAAATCAACATTCAGAAAGTGAAGATCATGGCATCACTTCATGGCAAATAGAAGGGGAAACAATGGAAACTGTGACAGCCTTTATTTTCTTGGGCTCCAAAATCACTGCACATGGTGACTGCAGTCATGAAACTAGAAGACACTTGTTCCTTGAAAGAAAAGTTCTGACAAAGCTAGACAGCATATTAAAAAGCAGAGCCATGATTTTGCTGACAAAGGTCCATAGAGTCAAAGTTAACGATTTTTCCAGTAGTCATGTATGGGTGTGAGAGTTTGACCATAAAGAAGGCTGAATGTTAAAGAATTGATGCTTTTGAGCTGTGGTATTGGAGAAGACTCTTGAAAGTCCCTTGGACTGCAAGGAGATCAAACAAATCAATCCTAAAGGAAATTAATCCCAAATATTCATTGGAAGTACTGATTCTGAAGCTAAAGCTCCAATACTTTGGCACCTGATGGGAAGAGCTAGCTCATAGGAAAAGGCTCTGATGCTTGGAAAGATTGAATGCAGNAGACATTTCTCCAAAGAAGACATACAGATGGCTAACAAACACATGAAAAGATGCTCAACATCACTCATTATCAGAGAAATGCAAATCAAAACCACAATGAGGTACCATTACACGCCAGTCAGGATGGCTGCTATCCAAAAGTCTACAAGCAATAAATGCTGGAGAGGGTGTGGAGAAAAAGGAACCCTCTTACACTGTTGGTGGGAATGCAAACTAGTACAGCCACTATGGAGAACAATATGGAGATTCCTTAAAAAGCTAGAAATAGAACTGCCATTTGACCCAGCAATCCCACTGCTGGGCATATACACCAAGGAAACCAGAATTGAAAGAGACACATGTACCCCAATATTCATCACAGCACTGTTTACAATAGCCAGGACATGGAAGCAACCTAGATGTCCATCGGCAGATGAATGGATAAGAAAGCTCTGGTACATATGCACAATGGAATATCACTCAGTTATTAAAAAGAACACATTTGAATCAGTTCTAATGAGGTGGATGAAACTGGAGCCTATTATATAGAGTGAAATAAGTCAGAAAGAAAAACACCAATACAGTATATTAATGCATATATATGGAATTTTAAAAGATGGTAACGATGACCCTATATGTGAGACAGCAAAAGAGACACAGATGTAAAGAACAGACTTTTGGACTCTGTAGGAGAAGGCAAGGGTGGGATGATTTGAGAGAATAGCATTGAAACATGTATATTAACATATGTGAAATAGATCACCAGTCCAGGTTCAATGCAGGAGACAGGGTGCTCAGGGCTGGTGCACTGGGATGACCCTGAGAGATGGGAAGGGGAGGGAGGTGGGAGGGAGGGTCAGGATGGGGAACACATGTACACCCATGGCTGATTCATATGAATGTATGGCAAAAACCACCACAATATTGTTAAGTAATTAGCCTCCAATTAAACTAAAAAGAAAAAAAAAAGTTTATAAGATACAAACATAACTAATACATTCCTACTTACAAAAAAAAAATCTATGTACAGGTTTTGTGTAGATATAGTTTTCATTTGTCAAAGTTTTAAGGGGCGTGACTGCTGAATACTATGGTAAGATATTTAGTTCTCCAAGAACTACCAGCTCTCTTCCCAAGTGGCTGTGCCATGTTGTATCACTACCAGCAATGGATGAGAATTCATGCTATTCCACATCCTTGTCAGCCTTTAGTACTGTCAATGTTTTTAATTTTAGCAACATAGTATGTGTGTAGTAGCCTCTAGTTTGTCTTTTACTTTGAAATTCTCTAATTACATATAATGTTGAGCATCTTTTCATATGTCTATTTGTCATGTGTATATCTTCTATGGTGAGATTCAGATATTTTGCTCATTTTAAAACAATTATTTTCTTATGATTAAGTTTTAAGTTATTTGTATATTCTAGATAACAGCTCTTTTATCAAATATGTCTTTTGCAAATATTTTCTTCCAGTCCATGGTATGTATTTTAATCCTTTGACAATACATTTTTCATAACAATTTAAAAAATGTAATGACAAAAAAAACCAACAACTGTGGATGGAGGTCTATAATGTTGTATAGGAGGCAGTGAACAAAACCATCCCAAAGAAAAGCAAGAAGGCAAAGTGGTTATCTGAGGAGGCTTTACAGATAGCTGAGGAAAGAAGAGAAGGCAAAGGCAAGGAGAAAGGAAAAGGTACATCCAACTAAATGCAGAGTTCTAAAGAATAGCAAGGAGAGGCAAGAAGGTCTTCAACAAACAGTGCATAAATCTAGAAGAAAACAACAAAAGGGGAATGACTAGGGATCTCTTCAGGAAAATTGGAAATATCAAGGGACTATTTCACCCAAAGATGGGCACAATAAAGGAAAGAAATGTTAGAGACCTAGTAGATGCTGAAGAGATCAAGAAGAGATGGAAAGAATACACTGAAGAACTGTACAAAAAAGATATTAGTGAACCATATTACTATGGTGGTGTGGTCAGTCACCCAGAACCAGATGTTCCGAACAGCAAAGTCAAGTGGGCCTTACGAAGCACTGCTATTAATAAAGCTAGTCGATGTGATGGAATTCCAGTAGAACTATTCAAAACCCTAAAAGATGATGCCACCAAGGTGTTGCACTTAATATGTCAGTAAATCTGGAAGACCCAGCAGTGGTCAATCGTCATCCCAATCTCAAGAAGGGTAGTACCAAAGAATGTGCGAACCATCAGACAATTGCACTCATTTCCCATGCTAGTAAGGTCATGCTTAAAATCTTGCGTGCTAGACTTGAACATTATATGAACCAAGAAATTCCAGATGTCCAAGCTGGACTCTAGTTTGTCTTTTACTTTGAAATTCTCTAATTACATATAATGTTGAGCATCTTTTCATATGTCTATTTGTCATGTGTATATCTTCTATGGTGAGATTCAGATATTTTGCTCATTTTAAAACAATTATTTTCTTATGATTAAGTTTTAAGTTATTTGTATATTCTAGATAACAGCTCTTTTATCAAATATGTCTTTTGCAAATATTTTCTTCCAGTCCATGGTATGTATTTTAATCCTTTGACAATACATTTTTCATAACAATTTAAAAAATGTAATGACAAAAAAAACCAACAACTGTGGATGGAGGTCTATAATGTTGTATAGGAGGCAGTGAACAAAACCATCCCAAAGAAAAGCAAGAAGGCAAAGTGGTTATCTGAGGAGGCTTTACAGATAGCTGAGGAAAGAAGAGAAGGCAAAGGCAAGGAGAAAGGAAAAGGTACATCCAACTAAATGCAGAGTTCTAAAGAATAGCAAGGAGAGGCAAGAAGGTCTTCAACAAACAGTGCATAAATCTAGAAGAAAACAACAAAAGGGGAATGACTAGGGATCTCTTCAGGAAAATTGGAAATATCAAGGGACTATTTCACCCAAAGATGGGCACAATAAAGGAAAGAAATGTTAGAGACCTAGTAGATGCTGAAGAGATCAAGAAGAGATGGAAAGAATACACTGAAGAACTGTACAAAAAAGATATTAGTGAACCATATTACTATGGTGGTGTGGTCAGTCACCCAGAACCAGATGTTCCGAACAGCAAAGTCAAGTGGGCCTTACGAAGCACTGCTATTAATAAAGCTAGTCGATGTGATGGAATTCCAGTAGAACTATTCAAAACCCTAAAAGATGATGCCACCAAGGTGTTGCACTTAATATGTCAGTAAATCTGGAAGACCCAGCAGTGGTCAATCGTCATCCCAATCTCAAGAAGGGTAGTACCAAAGAATGTGCGAACCATCAGACAATTGCACTCATTTCCCATGCTAGTAAGGTCATGCTTAAAATCTTGCGTGCTAGACTTGAACATTATATGAACCAAGAAATTCCAGATGTCCAAGCTGGGTTTAGAAAAGAAAGAGGAACCAGAGTTCCTCTGGTTCAAATTGCCAACATTCTCTGGATCATAGAGAAAGCAAGGGAATTCCAGAAAAACATCTACTCCTGTTTCTTTGACCACACTATAGTCTTTGACTGTGTGGATCATAATAAACTGTGGAAAGCTCTTACAGACATGGGAATACCAGGCCATTTTACCTGTTTGCTGAGAAAACTGTATGTGGGTCAAGAAGCAACAGTTAGAACCCTGTATGAAGCAACTGATTAGTTCAAGATTAAGAAAGGAGTACGACAGGATTGTCTGCTGTCACCCTGTTTGTTTAACCTAAATGCTGAACACACCACGAGAAATCCCAGGCTGGGTGATTTACAAGCTGGAATCAAGATAGGCTGGAGAAACATAAGCAACCTCAGATATGCTGATGACACCACTCTAATGTCAAGAGGAACTAAAGAGCTTCTTGATGAGGGTAAAGGGGGAGAATGAAAGAGCTGGCTTAAAACTAAATGTTAAAAAAAAAAAACAACAACTAAGATCATGGCATCCAGCCCCATTACTTCATAGCAAATAGAAAGGAAAGTGGAAGTAGTGACAGATTTCCTCTTTGGGAGGCTCTAAAGTCACTGCGCATGGTGACTGCAGCCATGAAATCAGAAGATGATTGCTTCTTGGCAGGAAAGATATGACAAACCTAGACAGTGTGTTGAACAGCAAAGGTCTGTATTCTGCTGACAAAGGTCTGTATAGTCAAGGCTATTGTCTTCCCAGTGGTCATGTACGGTTGTGAGAGTTGTACTACAAAGAGGGCAGAAAGCCAAGAATTGATGCCTTTGAACTGTGCTGCTAGAGAAGACTCCTGAAAGTCCCTTGGACAGAAAGGAGATCAAACCAGTCAATCTCAAGGGAAATCAGTCCTGAATACTCTTTGGAAGGACTGATGCTGAAGCTGAAACTCCAGTATTTTGGTCATCTGATGTGAACAGCTGACTCATTGGAAAAGTCTCTGAGGCTGGGAAAGATTGAGGGCAGAAGGAGAAGAGGGCTTCAGAGGATGAGATGGCTGGATGGCATCACTGATGCAATAGACATGAAGTTGGGCAAAGTTTGGGAAATGGTGAGGGACATTGAGGCCTGGCATGCTGCAGTCCATGGGGTCACAAAAACTTGGACATGACTGTGTGACTGAGCAACAGCAACAACAATACAACTATATATATTATGTATATATATACATATGGTAAATACATATATACAAAGAAAGTGGCAGACAGGGTAAAATGTTAACTATGATTGTAGCTGATAGTTGCAATTATGGTTAATTTTCATTGCTCTTTTTGTTTATATTTAGATGCTAAACTTTTATTATATTGAAAATTTTTTATATAACATAAATTTTAAAAACTTAATAAATATTTCTTTATTTAAGCACAGAGTGTAATTCCATTTACTAGTGGTATTTTTATTGCCCACATGACAGTCTCCACATCATCTAATTCCATGGCCGCACGTGGAACAATCCACCTGTTACATACCACTTTACCCTCAACATCTTACCTCTGAGGCTATCCCTATGCATTCATCCATACCTTATAGACCAGTGTTTCTCAAAGTGTAATGTACCTGTTTGAAACAGGTTCTGCTGAAACTCAGATTCTAATCCAGGAGGGGTGTGGGGTGGGGGTAGTCCTGAGAGTCTTTAGTTCTAACCTGTCCCCAGTGATGCCAGTCCTGCTTGTCCCCTGGCAGACTTTGAAAAGCAAGCCTCCAGACCTCCCTCCCTTTTCCCTCCCAGATGCCATTTCATTCCAACCCCTTGCTGCCTATTTTCTGCCTCTTTTCTAGGTTACTCTGAGAAATTCCGATAAGACAACCAGAGCAGAAACAGCTGTAGAGTCAGGGGAAGGGAAAGATCTGGAGGAAGGAAAAGCTCGTGAGGTTAGGTTAAGGAAGTTTGTCCATGAGAAACATCCTGAGTTCTTGTATCTGGGAGATATAATTGTTTGACCTCCTGTCATTCTGTTCTATAATATTTCCCATGGTTTCTGTAGAAACATCCTCAGAACTCAGCACTTTTATATTGATGGCTTCCAGCACTGCCCTTTGTCTTCTTTAGATCTGGGTCTTATCTGTTTCAGAGGCCTCTTTTGTTTCGGGGGGTTTCACCATCCTGGAACTAAGAAGATAGGGATCTATATTGCCTGCACATCATAAACCAGAAAATAATCATTTTCCCCATTCAAACAAGAAGACATTCCTTGTATATTTTTGTCTTTGGTTGAGATTTACTTATTAATAAAAGAGTACTACAAAATATGGTAAACAACTGCACTGAAGATGTTTTCTATGTTATCTTGTTAACTTTTATATTCTGTTATACTTCCAGCATTTCCTCAAAACCTCATAAAAATCAACTCAACAGCTACACAAAGCCATGTGATAAAGGGTAGATTTAAGAAGAAAATCCTAACCTTTTGCTCCTGCTTTTGAAAACTTCAGATGAACAAGCATATTCACTGCAAACTTCAAGGTGCCAAGTGACAGACAGTATGCACTCAATCCCCATGATGAACATAGAAACTGGGGTTTGAAAGCACCTGCAGGTATCAGCTTCCTGAAGAGTAGATCAAGATAATTACCATGCTACTCATTGACTTTCACAGCTTCCCAGGTGGCACTAGTGGTAAAGAACCTGCCTGCCAAGGCAGGAATCATAAGAGACACCAGTTCAATCCCTGGGTCAGGAAGATCCCCTGGAGGAGGGCATGGCAACCCAACTCTAGTATTCTTGCCTGGAGAATCCCATGGACAGAGGAGCCTGGTAGGCTACAGTCCATAGGGTCACAAAGAGTCCAACACAACTGAAGCAACTTAGCGCATAGGTACATGCCTCGGGTACACAGACCTGGTAGTTACTAACATCTGTTTCCCTCTTTGTATGCTGTCAGATTTGTTAATGTCAGATGACAGAGAGAGTAGAGCGTCTATCTCTTATTTTTAAGAATATCTGACAATATATTATTTCTAGGTACTGAGAGATACACTTTTTCAGGGGCAAAGAGAGGAAGAACAATTTGCTGTCAACTGTGGCACTCCTGTCTCCATCTCCAGTTAATTGAGTCTTTGTCCCCCTTGCTGATCCCTTCCCTTCTATCCACAGTGAATGAAAAATAGAAATTCACACTGGGCTTGCTGAAACAAAAGCTACAGCCCTGGCTAATGCAAGAGGTGAGTCACAGAGTGTCCACTTCATCTCCTGGGAGCCCCGGTGTCAGGGAAAGGTGAGAGCTGACCCATTCACAATAATGTTGGAACAACAAAATTTGAAAGTACAAACCAGCATCCAGCTTACTGCCTTGTCTTTTGTTCTCTTTTAGGGAACAAAGCTGCTCCCAAACAAAGCTCTTTTGGGAAACCATCTACTTTCATTCAAAGACAACCTGAAACGGTCAACTCTTGGAGTCACCGAAGTCCTCTTTCTCCCCTCCTACCCATACCTTCATGGAGACCTAGGTAAAAACACATAGAAAGGAGGAGTGGAAAATAGTACGTAGAAGTGTTTCCTCCAGGTTCCTCATTTATCGCTCAGATGAAGAAACTGAGGCCTGGAGAGAAGTGTGGAGGTGGGAGTAAGAGTGCAAAACAAGAGGGTCTGTGCTTTATTCAAAATGCTTGTTCTCTGTATCAGACAGCCAAAGAACAAACAGAATAGAATGCAGAGATGTAGAAGTGGAGAGGCCAGGAGAGATGAAGAGGAGAAAAGCTTCATGTGAAGGATGCATGTGGTTTGTGATTTTCTGTTTCAGAGGCAGCAGATTGAATTGTTTTACATCCACCAGGGATTTCATAGTCTTGGACAACACATTTGAGCCCAGATCTAGCCACAGAGAAACCCATCTCAATGTTTTTTTCTTAAGCATGGAGGGTGTTTCATTTCTTGGTACCCTATTAGGGGGAATGTATACAGTGAGGAGGAAGGAAGGGGAACACAAGCTGAAGTTGGAGTTTTCATGTCCAGACTTTCTTTCTGGTGCTTTCATGAGATGCTTACTGAGACTAAGTAACATGGGGAGCTCTCTGAGGTTCTGAGCATTGGCCCTCCTGAGCCCTTGCTGCTGACACATTGTTATTTGTGAGCCTTGCAAGGTAAGCCTGGCTTATTTGAAGTTGATGGTGTTCTGTCTGGCTAGGGGCTATTACCAGCCTCCCTACTGGGATAAACACCTGTCGTGATTCGTCTCAGTGGCCGCTGCCTGCCATTGGGGCCGAGATTGACGTGGCTCTGGGTGTTTTGCAGGCTTGGGATGGAATGCTGCTTTTGGGTTGAAATTAGAGGGGAGGAGGGCTATTGTCTGAGAAGGTGATGTTTTTCCCTGCTTCACTGCCCGCATTCCAAAAGCTATGATCCTTCTGATCAAGTCCTGCTCAACTCAATTTGTCAGACGGACGAGCTTTTGGACAGCAGCTGTATGCCTTCACTGACTCTTCATAACTTCAGTACTGAGATGGATGAAGTCTCCTACAGACTCCCCAAGTCTCCCCAGAGAGCCCAAGATGGCGTCTTTCTCCTGATCCACCATCACTGTGCTCTGACTGGGCACCCCGGCACACCCTCCTTTCCACCCGGGCTCCAAACACAGCAGAGAGAGCAGACCCGTGTACTCACAGCCCTCACCAGAGAGGCTCCTGGCAGTGTTCTCCAGTCCCCTGATCTTCAGAGAAAACTCACCTGCTGTCTGGGGCAGGGCAGTGGTGAGGAACCCTTGGCTGTCTCTCGTCCACCACAGCTGCAGCCGGATTTCCCTCGTGATGTGGCTCCTTCTCTGTCCATGTGTCTCCGGAACTGTGGCAGCCTCTTTCCTTGTGACTGCCCCTGATGAAGGCTGGGTTCTATGAAAGCAGTGTTAGGGGCTGTGGAGGTCAGCAACTTCACAATTTCTCAACATAGGGGTCTTCTCACTAAGTTTTCTGGAGGAAAGCCCCAGCTTCCCACTAAAGAGTTCATAGGAGGAGAACTCCCTGGCAGTTCAGTGGTTAGGACTCTGCGCTTCTACTGAAGGGGGCATGGGCGGGTTCAATCCCAGCCAGGGGAACTAAGATCCTGCATGCTGCGCGGTGTAGCCAAAAATTAAATAAATAAGTAAAACCCTTAAAAAAACAATTGATAGGAAAACTCCCCTCCAAGCCATCCCATCATTTGGTCCATTTAAATTCTTAACTCAGTGGTGGGTGAGGAACGGCCCCACCCAGCATCTGTGTCATGGTCCGGACCATCTCTAAGGAAAGCTTTCGAATGCCCAGGCAGGACAAGTGTCTGTCCCTGAGCCATCTAAGGAAGGAGGCCTGGTTGCTGTGGCCTTGCTTTTCCTGCTTGGGCTTCAGTGTCTCACGTGACCCTTTACTTTGGGTCTGCACTGGACGGATGTGAGTTAAGAAGGGTTTTTCAGACCAATGCCATCACTGTTGTCAGTCATCTAGCCAAGAGTGATTTAGGTGCAAGTGTCCTATCCTGGGTCCCTAGATGGGGGTTCAGACCTAGGATCATCTCACCTTCAGCTTATCCCTTCTCCAGTCTGGGTCTCAGCTCTCTCTCCTATACAAGGAGGGACTGGGCTAAATTAGCTTTTCAAAAATTATAGACTCATATTTTCAGAAACATCCTCAGTGAGAGAAATCTAGGAGATTCTGGGTTAAATAAAGTTTGAAACTTCCTTTACTGTCTAACTCCCAGGGCTTCAAATGTGATAAAAAGCATTTAAAAACTAAAAAGACAAGTATGTAAAAAGTTATATTTCCCAAACTGTATATCATCCAATTCCCTTTGTTTTTTGGCACATATCATGGGACAAGTGTTCTGTTGAATATACTTCATAGCAGCAAAAGGCTAAATGGTTTCTGAAGCCCCCCACCCAATCTGTAGAATTCCCTTTTTCTCCCTGTATAATTTTCCCTCTTGATTAGAAAACATACTGAATGTTTAACTCTATAGGCAATGCCATAAAGGCTAAACAGGAAAAAAAAAAAAAGAAATATATTCAGACTGTTAAATCCAAGCTCCTCTTTGAGATCTGTATTTTAGATAGCAGTAATGAGAATGAATAGGGATTATTAAGCATCTACTTAATGTACTAGATACTGTGCTAAATGCTTTAATTGGATTATCTAATTTAATTCTCACAGGAACCTTATGAGGTGTCTATCATTTTTACTCCCTGTTTCCAGATGAGGAAATGGCAGTTCAAAGAGGCTTGATAAATAGCATAACGCCACCCAATTATGAAGAGGCAGCGGCAAGGCCTCAACTTACTGCAGTCTCATTCTAAGAATTTTAAATAACCAACTTATTAAGCCTCCTTATTTTGTACCCCAAGCCAGCAAGCTGCCACAACAAACCAGAAATAAACTAATTGCAATGGTAATTACCTTCCATCTAAAATTTTTGAGTTAGTGTGAAATAATGTTGAATCATCAGTCTCTGATGTATACTAAAAATAGATATCTCTAACAACTAAATGTTACCAAATGATTTATTATGATTGGTGCTAAATTACAATGTATATGAAATGGAGTCATTTATGCAAACACATAAAAAATAGTTACCTATTTCTGTAATTATATTCACACAAGAATCTGAAATATAGTTTCTGGTCTGCCTTGTAAAATATATCCACAGAATGACTTTTGTAGTTTTCACCACACAATTTTACAATACTGATACTGCACCTGTATCATTTACCATACTATAAGAACTAAACAGAATATGAAAGCAGTTAATAGCAAATTAAACTTTTTATATCCATCAATGATTCCAAAGAAAATAGTTTGTTTCCATTGGCAGTGAGAATAGATGGTAGTAATTAGCATTGTAGATATTGCATACATAGATATGTATGTATATATTTATATGTTGCTCAGGGCCATTGTTCCATCACAGGCAGTTACCTTTTGGGTGGAGCAACGATTGCCAAAATGATGTGCAATTCCACTGGGACAATTAGCAGTGCTATCTTTTACCATGTTTCTCTTGCAAAACAACAGGTAAGAAAGAAATACAGCAGGCTAAAATCTAGTGTTACATACCAAGGTAGAAACAGTTACTGAGTTATTAATCACAGTAGTTTATGTATATTTGCTATTCACAGACCGCAGACATTTTGCTGGATAACCGAGCTGCTGGGAGTTGATGACATGAAGACATGCATTCATGTGAGTCCATAATTAATGATGTTTATACTGTAATAAGCACATTCATTTTAACACCATTCAGTAAACAGATTCCTTTAAAGTCTGAGCTAAATCTGCTATCACAATTACACACAAAAAGAACCTGTAAACAATTTGACATTACACTTATGTACAAGTGAACTGCATTGGAAAGGAGAAGAGGTAATTTCAGTGGGTGTCACTTGGTATACATCATTGTGCAACAAACTGACCCAAGTCATCAAGCACTTGAATGAGGTCAGGAAAAAGTAACATGAGCAAGGCCCCAGTAGATCAACACTCAGGGTTAGTTCCAGCAAAATTCAAACTCCTCTATCTATGGTGACATTGCCTTCAAAGCATCCAAGATGGATGTCAGAGGAGCTTAATAATCCCTGGCAAACTGTACTTGGAGATACCCAGCTATCCTAATCAACAGTCTTTATAAGTGTTGAAAGTGGTACTGATGCTATTGAAACATGTCAATTCAATTTGGACAAATGATTATGTTTGTTAGGTTCTGTCCAGTGCTCTGTTGGTCCTGAAGGACAAGGGGGAACAGGAAATCAACTGAGGTCATTAGTTCAATTCCTTCAGTCAACACAAAGATTCTTGACTTTACAGACAAAGTTCCTATCAGAGAAACAAGCGAGATGCCATTGTTAATCTAAGTGGTGACCCACTTACAACATACCCCATTAACAGCTTTCAGCAGAACTCTGAAATGGGACTTCCCTAAGTTTCTGTTTCTGTGTTTTAAGTAGGATACCACTCCAGTAATTACCAAATCCATTTTCTTACATCAGAAACAGGGTAATGAGGGGTTTTTGGCACCCCCCCCCCACTTCTCCACCCCTCATGTTTTACAGAAAAAGAAAAAATTAATTTGTCCTTTTCTAAACTAAGCAGAGTATTCTAAGCAAAATCCTCTTGATTCAACAATCTCCTATAGAATAAAAATGAATGAAAGGAAAATGAGAGGAGAACTTGGAGCCAAGGTTGGTGTTAAACCCCCTCCTCTGCTCTAAAATTTGGGAGGAAAACAACCATTACTTCTTCAAGTGTCCTTAAACCTAATTAAAACATGTGTGTAATTGCTACAAGGTTGATTTTCTTTCTGGTGCTTTTAAGACCACATCTTCACGGATCCTCTGGGGGAAAAATAAATGAATGACCATACTTGATAGGTTTGCAAATGTTTCTGACTGTGTGAGCAAACCCAACAGGTCCCTGGGAGGAGGAGTCTGTGCTTGGACCATCAGTTGAGCTCTGGGCTGGGAGCCAGGCTGAGTTTCTAAAGGTATGGTCTTGTGTGCATACAAACTGATCCCAAGGAGCACCAGGGAAGCTCTTTTGCATAGGTTGGCTTAAAACACTTTTCATATTCTCCAAAATATGCAAAGCACATGGCAGTGAATGAAAACACAACTTACTATATCCTTAAAAGAGTTCAAATTTCAGTCATTTGGTTGTATGCATGTACCATGCCAAAACAAATAAGTAACATTTTATTTCGTTTAACTTTTTCTTGTTCTATCTTTGAGCAACTATTTTGGTATCTGTATAATCAGGCTGAAAGGGTTACTTGTAGAAGTCTAGAAAAATGTTTGGTTATTATTACAATGTGCCCTTGAGCTTTAGTATATATTTACAATATGCATATTATAAATTATTTACTATAATTTTTAAAAATATTAAACAGATAGTTAGCTTCACCTACAAATATATAAGGCCACAGAGGCCCTCCATGAATGATGAAAGAAAAATCAATAAGATAGTAAATTAATCAATAGGTAGGTAGGTGAAGTACCATTGGCATGATAACCGTTGGATTTGTGCCATCATGGACCCACGTTTTCTTATTTGTTTCTTGCTAAACATCATCATGTTCATTTGGCGGGCTGTATGTGTGCTATTGTTTAATGAACAAGTCTGAAAACACATAGTTTGAAATTCCAACAAATGGTTCAAATAAGAAAGCCAGTTTTCCCAAGTTTGACTTTTCCATAAATACACTTTTGTTTGGTTTTGCATCCATAGATGTTAAACCTAGATATTCTAATCATATTTTCTGTACCATAGATATATACATATACTCATAGTAGAAAAGAATTTTGGAAATTAGAAGTATTTTAGACTCTCTAGGAAATCAAAAATAAATTATCAGTCTTTCAAACTCAAAATTCCAAACAGTTTTAAACTAAGATTTGCTTATGTGTATATATAAATGTATAGATATATATATATATACATTTAGATAGATGTACACACATATATACATATATACACAAAATTTATACATAAACACACATACACAACATACAAGTATATACATACTCCTCAACACACACACACAGTCATATATTTCAGTGCAGTTTCTTTTCTCTAGCTGCCTCTTTTTTCCAACTCAGAACAATGATGATAAGATGCTAGGGGCAGTCAAATCATATTTGGATTTCTGACCTGTCATGAACAAAAACTGAGGCTGTTCCAAAAGCCAAAAGGTAAAAATGGCATATACATGCATGTACACATATGCACTCATATACAGACAGTCATTTTACCTCTCCTGAAACTTGACCTGATCTCCTGTCAACAGCACAGCCAGCAGCTTGGGTGCCAACCTCCTGGCATGGGATCTATCTTACCCCTGTGGGTATGATAGGGCTTGGTTCTCACTAGATACTTGTTCTAAAACAAAGCCCTTGATAGCATTTTTACCATCAGATACAGTCTGTGGTACACACCCCACCCCCACCCCCAGACTTGCTTCTCCTTGATTTCCTAGGGATGTGCATGTCTAGTGGAACTTACAACACAAAATAGCTGACAACTTGCAGGAAGAATGTCAGGCTAGAATCATCCTGGCTACCTTTCGCTTAGACCAGAAGAAGCTATACAAAGGTGAAACCCAGAACAGAGAAGAGTTCATATCAGAGGTGGTTGCGAGCCTTCAGAGTTTAATAAACCCAGATGAGAATCTGTCTCTGCGTTGTCAAGCTATGTGCCACTCTACCTTTCCAAGTCTCAATGACCTCACCTGTAAAACGAGGACAGTAACAGTGTCTGCCTCATTAAGTTACTCTAGGATTAAAGAAGATAAGGCATAGAAAACACCTAGTAGAGTTTCTAGTGCATGCTAACAAATTCATAGTCTACATTATTCATAACTTAATATTTAAACCATAAGTCTCAAATGTTGATCAGAGCTACATACAGAAATAATGTTAACCCAGGGTGTGAACTTGATCTGAATTCAACTTCTGTATCCCAAGTCCAACTCCCTAGTAGATTATAATTCTCCTTGTGGTGACCAGTCCATGGTATGCATTAAGCAAATACCAGTGAGTGAATGCACAAATACATGAATGTCTGACTTCAGTTCTCTGGTCTTCAGTTTCCCTTGCACAAATTGGAGGTAGAATGACTGGACCTTTATTCAATCACTGGGATGTGAGTTTGATAAATTAAAAGAAAAATGTCAAATGACTTAAGATACAAACCTGTTTTGTGCTCTAATGTAGTCAGTAACTACAAATGGAAAAATAAGATTCAGTAGCTAGGGACCTGTGCTTAGACTTGTCATTTCTCTGAAAACAAGAGCGTGGGGGCCATCTGTGTGAGTCTGATGATCACATTTTCCAAGATATAAATATCATCTTTAGTGAAGATATTCAACCCAAAGTACACAGTGAGCAGTTAAAAGATGATAAAACTGTTGGCCTGTTCTAAGCACTCTTGTCCTGACTTTTCTATTTCTGAGACCAGCTTGCTGTATATTGTTGATCAGCTTGAAAGACATCCTTAATAGGGTCATATGAACTGAATATGCTCCCAAAGTGCTTCACAACAAACACATTTACCTGTTTTAAGGTTGATGACTTCACTGAAGTATCACTTGTCTGAGGCAGAGAAAGACTTAAATAGAAGACAGATTTAGACCCTAGACCTGTCTCATCACTACTGAAATCCTGGAAAAAAATGACATATTTCTATCTAAATCTCAGCATTCGCTTCTGTATAAAAGGATAATAAATAGAGCCTATACAGATTACAAGTGGTACAAATTATTATTGTTCATTTCATCTTATTTCTTGATCCAGCAGTCTTTCTCTACATGGTTAAGAATGGCTTGGAAAATTGGTACCAACCCGTAACTCAGGGTTTCTCAGCCTCAGCACTATTGACATATTGACATTAGGGTTAGATAATTCTTTGTTGTGGGGGTTGTTCTGTACATTGTGGGATGTTTAGCAGCATTCCTGATTTTTACTCACTGGGTGTTGGTAGCACCTCTCAAGTGAGAACAATCAGAAACGTCCTCAGACATTACCCAAAGTCCCCTAGAGTGCAAAATCACCCCTGTGTGAGAGTCATTGCCTTAAATGCACATAACCCCCGAATCGGAGGCTTTCCTGAAAATGTTTCTGTCTCTCACACACAAGTTAAACCACTCAGCACTGGCTGCAGTTGATCAAGGTGAATGCCATGCATATTTTAGCTTCCAAAGCTTTCTTTCTCTTTGCTCCCTGGCGGTTCAGATGGTAAAGAATCCACCTGCCATGCAGGAGATGTGGGTTTGACCCCTGGGTTAGGAAGATCCTCTGGAGAAGGAAATGGCAACCCACTCCAGTGTCCTTGCCTAGAGAATTCCATAGACAGAGGAACCTGGTGTGCTGCAGTCTGTGGGGTGGCAAAGAGTTGAACATGATTGAGCATTTAACACTTAAGTTGAGTATGATGCCAGGAGTGACTATATAAATGAAAACAAGTTTTGGTTTTCATCCAGAAATCTGTAATGTTTGAATTTTGTATCAGGAGATCAGCTTTACTCAACCTTCTCAGGTATTCATACCCACAGTAAAGACAAACTACTGGGCTGAATTAAAAGCTGTTAAACTTTGTGACCAGAGACTTAAATAACATTGAATATTCCTGCACTTGAATAGCATTACCATAGACACTAGTTACCAACCCAACACTGACGTAAAAGTTGTATGTGTGTATACCTACACACACACACACACACACACACACACACACACACACACAATTATAAAGCAGTTCTCTTCCACTACTTAGTTATGCATCAATCCTCTTCCATTTGTGATGGATGAAGCCAACATCAGCAGTGAGAGTCTGAAGTTATGTTGATTTTTATTGTGCAAACGCAGGTAAATTAGCTAAAGGTCAATTCTAAGAATAAACTGACAAGATGGAAGAGGTCGCTGGAGAGAGGAGACTTACTAAATCCTCCACTTGGCAGTTAAGTGCTTTTAAAAGGCTGATTAACAGGAAAATCACCTCCTTCTTCCTCCAGGACAAACCCCTTGATGGTCATTGTACTGGGACACATTTTTCTTAAGCCTTTTAAAAGTAAATTCCCAAAATAAAGCAAAGAAGATAGTCTAGGAACTAAAAATTCTTTACCCAATAAACAATACAACTTTTTCACAAACAAGAACATTGTTTAAAGTTTAGAAAGCTGAGGAATAAAAAGATCCATTGGGAAATAAAGGAGGGAAAGGAAACTAAATCCAATTTAAGATTTAAAAAAAATTCTTGGCCAAAATAATTTGTGGTTCAAATGCATTAGTTTCACTGACCATTCTTCACTTTCCTTTGATAGTAGTTTTTACCTAAATATTAATTAATGATTATGACAAGCATGAATTTAAGTCATTTATTCTCTATTTATTGTAGTGGGGTCAGGGGGGCAGGATTTGGTACCACTCCAGTTATTCTGTTATATGGATAGGATCAACTGGATCCCTGAAAACCTCCAAATTTTGTTTTTTTTTCTTCTGAATAATTATAGTACAGCCATCTCTCCTAGTCAGAGTGACTGAAAATTCGAGAACTTCATATCATTTACAAATGAAATTTTTTAATCCACTCCTTACTTCTTTTTTGAAATGTATTCTTCTTTATGGATTTTGCTTTACATTTTTAGTTAATGTTGAGGTTCAGGGTCATCAACTCTCTGAGGGTTTCTTAATACTGCTTGAGTCAAATTGGACAAAGTAAGCAGTACAATGACTCAGGATTTTCTTCATGATATAGCTAAATTCACTCAACATCCCATACTCATTTTGGTGGTCTGTATGTGCAGTTATAGGAACCTCTTTCGGGCCACACACTCCATTAAATTATGGATCACTCTGAGGTTCCTCTGATGCAAACTATAAATGGGCCCAGAGATGAACAACTCTCTTCAAAAAAGGGCATTATCTTTGTTCCTTGTTGGGTATCATTAGGACACATCTCACTTGGAGATATGCTCCCATCTACCCAGTCATAAAACTACAGTGATGCAGGTTTTCAGTTTGGGGACAAAAAGGTACAAACATCAAACATACATATAATAGAGAGGAGGTCATGAGTGACAAGCAGATGAAAGGGCAAACCAGCTATGGAAATCTGCCCAGCCCTAGTCCTAGGATGCTCTTCTTTGGGTTTTTTTTTTTTCTTAAAATAATGAATTATGCATGCTCTGACTCATCTGTAGTGATAAGTGAGAAAGAGTGCCACTAGGAAGTAAGAGGAATGGTGACCTCCGCATAGTCCCTAAACACCAGTTTCTCAAAGGAAGGTCCACAGACCATCCCACAGAAACCATTAAGGGTGAAAGCCCCAAATGCAGGTTCCTTGGCCTCCTTTGAAGTTTCTGGATTAGACCTTCTGGGATTAGGGTCAGGAATCTGCATTTTTACAAGCACTACAAATGACTTTCCGCATGCTGAGTACTGGAAACACTGCCAACACTTCTGCAATGGAGGTCACTGAGGGATGAATCTCCATTCCAGTGTATATGGCAAGATGAGAAAAACAACATTTCAAAGTAGCTTTGTGCTTGCATCGCAAAGCTGTGATTATTAAAGCTTAACACTCTTTTTCTTTCAGCAGGGGTGGAGAGCAATAACCATTTCATCTAAAATCAGAATGATGAAGGCAGTATAAATCAAACCCATTTCAGCAGGTTTCATTTGGTCTAATTTCTCTGCAGATATTAATCATTGTACAGTCCTGTACAAATGACATCTAACTTGATTTTAACTCAGAATACAGAATGCTCACTCTAATGCTGTCTCTCGTGTATTATTTTGACAATATAAAAGAAAATAAATAAATTGTGTCAAGATTGCAAGATGCCAACAATACCAAGACATTAAGAAAGAAATGGCCCATGCCGACCCTATAACCAAGCATGCAAATTGGCAAAAATATTTATCTGTCATGGTCATGGGGGAAAATAACTCTCATCATTTTTCCTCTGAAAATTGCTATGTCACATGGAAGTTGACAAAGGATTCTTCCTAAAAGTGTGCAGTCTTAACTCTAGGAAATATAATCCAGATGACCAAGACTAGTCAAGTCCCACTATATGATAGAAAGTGCCAGAAAATACCAGAGTTTAAGTGTTCTGGGTTAAACCACTATGATAAATACAAAGTTCAAAAGTTGAAATTGTAACAGAGAAAAATATATGAGAATCAAAATTTGCCTCCCATTTTGGGAATTGGTGTCAAGTAGTTTTGCAAAACACCATGTATGCCTTTTCATTGTCTCACTGCAACCTGTTTTGCTAGGTACCAACAAAGCAATAATCAAAGAGGAATCTAACCCTGAGAAGCAAACTTAATCCAGAAGCTCAAGCAGTGGCAACTAGAAGGACCCAGAGTGAACAGTACACATCTGTGCTATGGGTAAATGTGTCTGTGAATCAAGCAAGCAAGATGCCCATGAATCAAGCAAGACCAATGAAAAAAAAGAAAAATTCCCTGTTAGCTCCCCTTTTATACATGTGCCCCTGCCTCACATGAATCAGTCAGGAGGAGACATATTATAGCTATGGAGGAATAAAGAACAAAGGGAACACTTACGATTGATTTGTGCATTGTTCCCCTTTTATTGTAATTCATGCATGCATTTCCAGGAAGATAACTGTGCCTACAAGTACAAAGGATAACATCACGGCATATTTTGGAAGCCACTCTGTTGTTTTACGGCCACATCTCAATGCAATTTTTTTCTTAGCAGAGGGAGGGAGAGCACACTACCACCATGATCCAACAGTTTTATTTTCCTGTCTTCCCCCTTTCCTGCTGAACACAGATCACTCCCTCTTTGATAGTGGGTCAGAGGACTTTATAAATATAGTTCTTACTTCAGAACACCCACATACCATAGAGAATGACCTCCACAAGCTCACTGGATTTTAGCATGGCAGAATTTTCCAAGGTCTCTGTGCCTATGATTCCTCATTGATTTGACCCATTTGATGCTACTAGTCTCTTCAAATCAGCCTTTGTCCTCACCAGTATTCAAGAAGCAAACCATACATATTGTTCTGTCCAGAAAGGAATTAAAAAAATTTTGAAACTATTTTAAGTTTGAGGAAATGAATATGATACATGGTGCAGGGCCACTATAGCATTTAATCTTCTAATTCACTTACCCAGAATTCATTTCCAGTGTTGTAGGCCACATAGCCCTCACTTCAATTCCACTTGAACTAGGACTGAAGATGTGCATGGACCTGGTGCCTCTGTAGAGACTTTTACTGACCAGGTCTACAAATCTGCCTGCAATGCAGGAGACCCAGGTTCAATCCCTGTGTTGGGAAGATCCCCTGGAGAAAGGAATGGTCACCCACTCCAGTATTCTTGCCTGGAAAATTCCATGGACAAAGGAGCCTGGCGGGCTACAGTCCATGGGGTCACAAAGAGTTGAACACAACTGAATGACTAACTTTAACTGTTATTTCCATGCCAACAACCACACAAATGAACACTCTGTTGCTGTTTCAGCTATGTGAAGTATTTGGTTTGAGCTGACCCCAATTAAAAATATTACTACTTTAAACAGACTTGCCACCACTGGTTTTGTTTTCTGGGGGGTATAAAGATAGCCTAAAGAGAAAAAAAAAAAAAATGACAGGTCAAAGAACAGAGAAATGCCATGAACATTTTCTTTGCAATGTTTCATTTCCTATTTAAAGTACATACATAGTAGGAATAGTGAGTTGATGGCCATCTTACTAGTTCTCCAATTCTTACTAGTGTGTTTATATCTTGAAGCCATTACAATCAGGTCTGAAATTTAAGAAAGTTGGGACTCTGGCCATTTTAGTTAGACCCCCAACTCTTTGACAGAACTTCCAATAGGACCATAAGAACCATTTGGGCAAAGTGAGTTTGGGGATATTTTCACCAAATTCAACTTCTTGACCCATTAAGTTCTATGATCCTTTGCAGAATCTTCTATTACCAATATGACGAATATGAAATGGTATAAAGAAACACTGAAAACAGTAAAGACATACTGGTAGGCTTTACAAAGCTAAGTTGTAGTTAAGATCAAATGTCTGCTGATACACTAATGAATGAAAAAAACAGCACTTAAATTCATAAATATAATTGTCTTACAACACAACTCCCAAAATGATCTTTCTTTTTTCACTTCAGCCAAATTGTTAAGTCCATTTGAACCATCAGGACAAGAAAACATTGGCTGAGTCTGTTGCCCAGGTGTGAAGGTAAGAATTAACAAAAATTCAGAAAGCTATCCATATGTTAATGAGCACTAATAACAAGTATCAAGATACACCTCTTACATAATAATATGCATCAATGAAAGATTTCAATGGGAAGCAATAGGTCACTATGTCTCCCTCCCATAGACATCATCCAGTTGCCTTTATTACCTGTGGTACGTATACACATACCCACACACACAAAATTAAAAAAAAAAAAAAAAATAGGAGTTCTTGGCACACAATTGAGGATGGAAAAAAAATATTTTTTCAGTTCCCACTGAAATGCATGAGGAATGCTGAAAGTCAAATCTTGCCCTGTAGTCTTCATTTACCACAAATCTATGAAAAAACTATGAGTACATTAACATTAATAGAATACAGAGTCACATGGATGGATGGCTATTAACAGTTTCTCTTTGGTTGTGTCCATACAGGTCAAGGATGTAAACAAGAAAGAAAGACTGTTTAGAAAGCCCAACTCTTAATTTCAGGGCTTCAATTATCTAGTTGGGTTGTTCAAAGACATCAGAGAAGTGAGAGCCAAATTCTAGTATGGACACAGCCAAAGCCCAGATTCCAAAGGCAAACAAACCTGGCTACAAGGAAGTAACAGTGAAGCACTGTCGTTTTAAAAAGTTATGAGAAATTATTAGGGGATGTGTGAAATACAACTTCCCCTTAAAACAAAAGGCTGGACCCTTATTCAAGTACTGTGTGCTGTTCTTACTGCCACAACTACACAGGAATGCAGAGAACTTCACGTGGAGTACGTGGAAAGGTCAACCATTAAAACACGGGCAGAAACAGCGAGAGAAGAAAGGTAATTCAGCTCAGGGTAGAGAAGGCTGAATCGGGGTCATTTTGCAGGAACTTTTGTGGATACGGATGTTTGGGTTTTTTAAAATACTAAGAACGTGTGACTAGCTCTTCTCACCTTCTCCTAGGGCTGAGAGAGAGCAGTGCAGTAAAATGGAGCCTGAGGGTGTTCAATTCCAAATAAGGAAGACAATTTGCTGATGATGGGGGTTAGTAGATGTAAGGAAATGATGCCAAGAGAGGCTCAGAAATCTTCCCAGAAGGGTTTTAAGAAAAAAGCAGAGGCTCCTGTGGCTGCAGGATTCGAAGAGGGCGCTGTGGGGGCAGGAACAACCCCTAGGAGGCCCAGGCCCTGGGGTCCTGTGCTCTGGGTGTATATACATACTTGGTTGTGCTTCTGTTGCACAAATACTCATGCATACGGAGTCAATATAAACTGGCACATAATCAATTTGAGTGAAAAGTCATATAAATCTGCCACTTTCCCCCCATCACCCCAGAAACAAAGGGAAAAAGGAAAATTTAAAAATCCAAACCTATGGCATTGGGCCAGATCGCTACCATAATTTTCATTCAACGGAGGGAGGTAGAAGAAGAGAGGAAAAACCCAGTTTGGGATAGATGATTCCCAAGGCCTCTCAGCTGTTCTTACGTCGCTGGCTCTCATCTATAGACAAGATACTCAGCACATGGGACCAAGTTAACAAACAGACAAAGAACCAAAAAAAGAGAGAGAGAGAATTTCTTATACTTCCACATCTGGAAAGAAATCTACCCTGTGGATTGACATGTTAAGGTGAACCAGGTAAATAGGCAGTAGTAGATCAATGGGCTATTGTGTTCTAACAAATGTGTACTGTTGGTTGTTGTTTTCTCTTTTCAAATATGGATTTCTTTCAGGAGGTTTATTTCAAAACGGTGACACGCTGTTTTTTCTCCCACCCCCACCCCCCATCCGCCCCTATAGATGATACTTCCGTAAAAGTTCAGATTGCCAAGGGTGTTTTCTCTCTGGGAACCTATCTGGAATTTTGATCTTTAGGAAATCCTGGATGCATTTCTCCAGCTCTTCCTCAATTGACAGCTTTTCCTTAACAGCTTTTTTTTTGCTACTCATGTTCGACTCCCTGGAGCCGGAAGTCAGAGTCCGGAGCAGGTCACTTTTCCGTCGCATCTCTGACTGCTGGATCAGCTGGACGGGGCCCTTCTTGATGGGACGGTCCAGAGTCTGGATGTTGGTCTGGCGTGTCACGGGCCCACAGATGACTGTCTCCTGGGGAGAGCTGGCCTCAGACTGGCTGTCGCAGCTGGAGGTGGAGAGGTCGTTGCAGGAGGTGCCGCTCTCTCCTTCTTTGTCACCCTTACCGTTCTTGCAGCAGCAATCACAGTGCGATGATGACCACCTGGAAGGCTCACCTGCAAAGAAGCACAGGACCCAAGGAGTGAATGTCAGGCAGCTCAGCTTGGAGTAGGAGCGCTGTGTATCAACACACAGACAAGCGTCCACAACCGCGTCTTTAGAAGCAGCAGGACAGCACACAGAATGGGTTGCAACAGGCGTACCCACCAGCCAAGTTCACTGAGGGAAGGAGGTTAATAAGGGTAAGCTGCATAAGGGGAAACACATTCTAATGCATCAGTCCATGGAGTCGATAGTTACTCAGCTGCACGGTGTCATCACTCACTTTGTTACCTTGGCAGACCATTTAATTCTTAAAGCTTCAGTTTCCTCATCTGTGAGAGGAAGATAATAATTTCCCTACTTTCAAGAGTTGAAGGGTGGAATTAGATAAGGCAAGTGAAATTCTCTGGGAGATAGTGAAGAACAGGGAAGCCTGGAATGTGGCAGTTCATGGGGTTGCAAAGAGCTGGACATGAATGAGCGACTGAACAACAAACAACAACAAAAATGAAATTTTAATGCAATGTGAGGCACACAATAAGCACTCAATATATGCTAACTGACTTTACCGTGGCTGATGTTAAGCCCTAATCCTATGGCCCATGTTATTGCAGTCAGGTAAATAGGGAGATCCTACAAGAGTGGAATGACAGCTACCAGTCAGGAAAAGCTTACTTTGTATAAACCCACATGTAAGTTCTTCGCACCCATTAACATACTAGACCCTCATGACAATTCTAAGACGTCAGTATCTCCATCCCCAGTTTCCACATCAAGAAACTAAAGACTTTAGAATTTTAGAAACTTGCTATAGGACTTCCCCAGTGGTCCAGTGGTTAAGTATCTGCCTGTCAATGCAAGGGACACAGGTTCGATCCCTACTCCAAGATTCCACACTGTGGTGGGGTAACTAAGCCACGTGTCACAACTGCTGAAGCCCATGCACCCTACAGCCTCTGCTCTGCACTCAGAGAAGCCACTGCAATGAGAAGCCCACAGACAAGAACTAGAGAGTAGCCCCTGCTCTTGGCAACTAGAATAAGCCCTTGCACAGCAACAGAGACCTAGCTGCAGCTCCCCAAAAAGAAATTTGCCATAGTTTGTACAAAGCTATACAATTTGTAAATGGCAGAGCTGGGATTTGGAAACAGGTCTCCCAAACACTATAACTAATCTGTCTGTAAAATGCATGCTTCTCTTTCAAAGCAATTTTCAAAGTATCACTTCTCTCTGAAGTCCTTGTTCACCTATCCTCAGAAATAGTTGTCAATTTTTCCTCTGAGTTATGATCTTCCCTTGTAAGTGCCTCTATTATTACACATATCACATTTTGTTATAGTTATTTTCTACCTTAGGCATCTCAGCTACTATACCATGAGCACCCTGAGGTAGACGCAGTGAAGAGTTCATTGTTGTCATCCCAGAAGACAACAGAAGGCTCCAGTAAGAGTATAGAAATTAAATAACTCAATAATTATTATTATCCTAATAATAATTCTGAAATACCTTGATCCAGCCATACCTAAAGCCAGACCTTTCAATGAGGTTTCACTTACACAATCCACTACATTATATTTAAGCCAGTGTGAATCCCTCTCTCCCTGTTTCCCTGAGTCTTGATTCACAGCAGTACATTCAGCTACTTGGAGCAGAGCCATTTTTCAGATGCTCAGTTGGGGGCTCCCTGAACTAGGAAATCCAGAGTCACCGCGCAAAACAATTTCCTGAGCATAAGTCACTGCTCCAAGCCTTCCACTCTCTACATAGCCACAGTCTTCTTGGCGTCATAAACCTAATACTGTTTACTGATCAGATGCTATACACTGGGCACTATTCATTGCACTAATGCCGAGAAAAAATGAAAGGGAAATCAACCCCCTTTATGATGCTAATATTAAGGGCAAAGATAATGTGGTACAGTTATATGTTTTAAAAGGGATCCAGTTTCGATTTGCACTATATCTTATTCTCATAAATAATGAGTCACATGATAATAAGATCCCACTTTGTTATCATTTCTAATGTGGTCAAAGTAGAGGAAACTTAGGATGGAAACTATTAGGAAGGTTATATCCTGTCATCTCTTACAATGTCTGCCCTCTACATATCTAAACCATTTAAATATTTATAACAAGTTATACATTTTTCCTCAGAGATGGTAAAAAAGAAAGTCCCTATAAATCACAATGCCAAAAGGATCTCTAATATATATTTGCTCTTCTGTACTACTTTTCAAATGTGACTGAATATTCATTGTATTTATATACCCATTAAATAAAATGCAACAATCCAATTAGCCAGAAGGAATCACCACAGCAGTAATGTCCTAGTTATCACAGGCTATTACAAATAAATATCTTCCACGCAACAGAGAAACTATTCAATATGTGCCAGCTGGTGACTGAAAGTATCAGCCATAGAAAATGGTTTCTGTCTGCCAGCCCCGATTCTGAGGAGGATGTTTTTTCTCCTTCAGAAGGTAGAATTTGCCTCTGCCTCTCCAAACCTGGCCATCCCTATACCAATATGATTCCATGGAGAAATGGCTCCAATGAGTTGGGTCAAGGAAAAGTAACGCCAACCCAGGGCTGATCTAGTTTGATCTATCTTGAGCAAAATTCAGAAACCGAACAAAGCTTTAAAAGAAGAAGGAAAAGGAATAGGAGAAAGACAGAAAAGAGAAGAAAAAGATATGTTGGAATACGCCTGCCTATAACCTTAAAACAAGATGACAAAGTATTTTGGCCATAAAGCCTCCTAAATCAGTAGAAATACAAGCCTGGGGGACATGTCTGATGGCCCAGTGATTAAGACTTGATCATCCAATGCAGGGGTGCAGCTTTGATCCCTGGTCGGGGAGCTAAGCACCCATGTGCCTTGTGGCCAAAAGACTACAACATAAAACAGAAATACTATTGTAACAAATTCAATAAATATTTTTAAAATGGTCCACATCAAAAAAAAAAAAGAAAGAAAGAAAGAAAAAAAGAACAGGCCTGTATTTCTCTGTCCAAGAGTTACCTTCCTCTGAAAGTCTTTCTATTCATTGGATGTGGAGGGGAACCTGAGGCTTCTTTTCTGAAAGGCAGTCTAACAACACAAACACCAACTTGTGAATGAGTCCTGTGTGCTCATGTAGAAAATTGCACACAGCCCTCCACGACCTGTCCAAGCCAATGCCATTCTGGCACGGATGCATTATTTCTGCCCTGAACTTCTGGGATCATCATGGATTTAAATGTCAGTTGGGATCCACCAGCTTCCAGGCAAAGAGAAGTATTACTTTACACTAATTCTAGGCACTATCACTATTAAAGGGAAATTAAACAGATTAATTTTAGTGGAGTCCATTATACTTCCACATGTTTCAATATTTTATGAGCACATCTGAATGTTTTACTACTTTGGAAAGGTAATTCATAAGATGGCTTCTGAAGTCTATATATCAGTTTGAAATCAAAGAAGATGGTATTAATACAGTCCAGTTAGAAGTGCAATCTGAAGGGTCATTATAAAATCTGAAAAATAATCAGATGTGAGAAGAGAACCATGTTGTTTCTTTTTTCTTTTGCTTACCCCCTTCCCAAGAATTTAACCACAGCAGACAGAGGATTTAAACCAGAACACAGAAAACCCTTTCACCCTTGCAGTTCCACTGACATAACCTTACCTGTTCTGGAAAGAGTAAAAGGATCTGTGAAAGGTCAATTCTGTAACTCAAGGTATTCTAGAATCCTCCCCATTATAGAAAATTATGATCTACTAAATACCTTGGTATTTCAAATTACAACATACTTTTGCTCCCAATTTGCTGAGGTTTCAATACTGGCTGGAATAATTCTCTCCACTTGAAGAGAAAATAGGTTACAATTGATTAGTCAGATATAGGGAGAAAATCATTTCATTCTCAGAAAAGTCTCAGTTGTTGATATTAAAACAACAAAATATCTGCAGCCTTTTGGGGGTGTATTAACTAGTTTCTGGTCAAAGAGCCTAATAGCACTTCCTTATCTTTCAATAAACCACTGCTGAATTAGTTGGACATCATTTTTGCTGCCAGGCACATAATAGAGGCTTGATAAATGTTTGATGGTTAAATGAATGAGTCAAACACATGTGTTGAATTATAACAAGTTGATAACACAGTAGATAGACTGCAGGCTCCAGAGTCAGGCTCTGCAATATGTCAGCTTGGATCAACTACTTTACCTCTCTGAGCCTTAGTTTCCTCTTCTGAAAAATAAAGTTAGTAATAGTATCTTCCTCATAAGGGTTTTAGGAAAATTAAATGAGATAATTAAGGTAAAAGCATTTCTTGGTTTGTGGGACCCAATCCATACTTTGACCAGTGTACACATTCATTCTGCTAGAAGCCAGAAACTGATCCACATAAACAAAACAAATCAGAAGCTTGTTAGATATGATGATTATGTTTCTACTAACGTGCTATACAACCAATTCTTCAGTCTGGCTGGAGCATCATGTTAGAAAGAACACTAATGCTATAACTGGACTCTTCAGGAAAATGTACACTGAGCATTTCATAATGTCTGATTTTGTTTGGGAATGGAGAGTAACCATTAGCACTTATAGTGTCTGGCACATACTATGAGACCAGGGGATAATTTTGGAAAGAAGTTTCCTTTACAGTGCAGTGCTTAGAATTTCACAAATGGATGGAACTTCTAGGATAAAAATTTACGCTAGGACACATCAAATAAATTTAAACCCAGAGCCCAGAGGTGTTTGTAGTTGGGATTAAATGGGAGGGGCAGGAAACTCAATAGCCTTGAGTCCTTAAACACTAAATCTTCCAGCAGTTTACAACTTGGACAAATTGAGAACCAATCAAGAAAATTAAATGAGTGGACTTAGTCCCTCTCCACTATAGCCCTGAGTCCTTACTGACAAAGAAGGAATAAAAGAGGAAAGGCCACAGAATCTTTCTCCTCTATGAAAAATTCAAACCAAGCTGAGTGAATCACAACTTAGCAAACTCACAAAGTGCTTATGC